CCCCGCCCCTTCCCGTAGCTTTGCACCCGGCGATTAGCGGGCCGGACCGGCAGGGGATGTGGAGCAACCCGGCCCCAGGTCGCAGAAGGAGCCTTGCTCCGCTTCACACCCTCTGCCCCCCCAGCTCTAGCCCCTGCTCCTCCCGCCCGTGGCTTTTGCTCCCACCCAGCAAACGGCATACTCAGCTTGACCAACTCCAAGCCAAAGCAGGCCCAACTAGACCAACAACTGCAAAGCCTATAAAACAGTTGCACTGGTGTTCTTCTGCCACTCCCCACAATGCCTTCCAACATCCACAGGGCCTACCCATGCCTGTCAGAACATAGGGCATGCTTCACCGCTGCAGATACAACCCTTATATTCAAATTCATTTTTATGTCTAATTATATGGCAAAAACAAGAACATAAGCAATTGTTCAGTAAGTATGTGCTTTGACACTTCTATTTTTAGGTCTGATTTTGTGAGCAAGTTTTGTTTTGTTTTTAAATGAGACTTTGGCAGTACACAAAACAAATCAGACTCCTGAAACAGGTTCAGTGGCCTGAAATGGTTGAGATCCTTTGCTCTAAGCCATATTTACGTTTCATATGGTATCTTCTGTTGTGCAGCACATTGCTGAACACCACCACAAAAAATGTTGACTGCAAGCTGATCTAGTTAAACGCAGCCCTGTGGAACACGGGGTCGTAATTTTAACCTGGATTTTCATGAAATCGTTCCTTTTGAAACTGATCCAATATAAGTATCTAGGAAGGACTTCTACTGATTAACAAAACTAATGAGAATTATATTGGTTTTAAAACTCAGACCAATGGTACCTCTGCAAAGCTTTACATGTACAAATTACCTTCTGCCTACAGCTCTTTCCACAAGATGTGGATGTAGTTTCATTTAAGGACAAGAAATTAAAATCAGTTGAATTTATATTCATCTTAAATCCACTATATTTAATCTGCAAACAATATAAATCAACATTTACAATATGCAAATAAGTGATAACCCCTAATTCACATGAATGAAGCAGTGTTTCTTATAGACTTTTATTTTTTAAATTTACATATAAAAGTACATTGCACATAAGAACCTGAATCTGTGTAATTCCGATTAGACTTTAAATGGCATTACAGACTCACCCAAAACAGGATGTTTAATGATTGTACATACCAGAAAATAGAGTTTAAGCTATTGCATTTTTGATTAAAGACTAGTTTCAAAAAGTATTAAGCAACATGAATAATCAAGTCAGTTAATAGATGATTCAGTTTCAGAGCCCCTGAGTTGATACCCTATTTTTACAGCTATGTCTACACTTACACCCTCTTTCTAGAGAGGGATGCAAATAAAGACATTCAAAACGGCAAATGAAGCCAGGATTTAAGTATCCTGCGCTTCATTTGCATAATCACGTTATGGCGCTATTTCAAAATAACAGATGCTGTTAAGACAGTTATTTCAAGAGAAAACCCTTCTCTCAAAATAATCCTTATTCCTCATACAATGAGGTTTACCAGTTATTTCAAGAAGGGTTTTCTCTTGAAATAGCGTCTTAACAGCGTCTGTTATTTCGAAATAGCGCTATTTCGAAATAGTGCCATAACGCAATTATGCAAATGAAGTGCAGGATATTTAAATCTCTGCTTCATTTGCAATTTTGAATGTCTTCATTTGCATCCCTCTCTCGAAAGAGGATGCAAGTGTAGACATACCCATACAGATTTGGTGGAGACCTGCACTGTCCTGAACCACTTGACATTTTTTCCTGCTTTATTTTGCCTAGTTCAATGGTGCACACTTATTCACCAGTCTAAGGCATGTTTCTTGATCATAAGTAAACATGAAAACAGTTCCATCGCTCTAGTAGTCTTGATAACAACAGCTGTATCTTGAACATTTTGATAATTCTCATTGTCAGTCTTAGGCATTTTTAATAAATGCATAACTGCAATTTATTCACATTCTTTGTTTGCGGATTCCAGATCCTATTTCAGACAATTTTGTGACTGTCCCACACTAATTTCATTCTTCCACATGACAGAATGTGGTGTGACAGTCATGCCTATTAGGCCATAGTGCTGCAATTAAAGGTATACAAATAACATCTGCTAATACACCTGGCTACGGATCTCTCCTCACACTAGTCTGACCATACTCAGCAATCGAACATTGTTATTGCAGACCATGTCAGAATTTTCTCTCTGACATGAAATGTTCCGTGTGGGTGAGGCCTTCACTCCCACCAAGATGCAACTTATCTAGCTATTTTCTTGGCCAGAGTGGCTTAGAAAGGCATTCTCTTAGATGGGCAAGAAAAACAATTTATTAAGATTCCTTCACCTTCAGAAAATATAAAATCAAAGCAAAAAGCTCTAGGTTCCTTGGTTTTCTTCACAGGCACTATCACTCCACACCTTCTAGCTTGAGAGTCCAGCAACACTGCACTGGGAGAACAGATGGGGGTAAAAATGGCAAAGGGATCAGCAATCCTTTATCCGGGGCCTTCTCCCATTTCAGCATCTCAGAGAATCCCAACATAGTCACCTGAAAAAAAAGGAAAACACAATACTCTCAACTCTTGCTTAATGCAAATACTTCCAGCCAATTCAACTAAAGTGTATTTGCAGGGTACAATGCAAGGCACATGACAATCATCTGACTGATTTTTCTTATAATGGTTTGGAAATGACACCACGTCCTCCTAGTTCCATTTGCACTGAATAGTTTAATAGATTTCTTTTTAAATTTGCTTTGCCATGTCAGAGTAGTCCTACTGCTATTTGGGATCCTCCATTCATTACACAGCAAATCAAGTCAGTTGAGGCTGCGAACTCTGGAAGAAGTGCCCTTTGCGGTACTGTGGCAAGTTTAAAAACAGTGCTGACAAGTCTTATCCAGTGTTACTTCAGGGAAAACAGTGGCTTAAAGCAGGGTGAACACACAGAAAGAGGGAATATAGTTCCTTTATGACCTCTTTGTGATAAAGACGACGACCCAAGACTAGAAGTAAGGGATAGAATCATAGAATACTAAGACTGGAAGGGACCTCGAGAGGTCATTGAGTCCAGTCCCCTGCCCTCATGGCAGAACCCAGTACTGTCTAGACCATCCCTGATAGATGTCTATATAACCTGCTCTTAAAGATTTCCAGAATGACGACTCCACAACCTCCCTAGGTAATCTATTCCAGTGTTTAACTACCCTGATAGTTAGGAACTTTTTCCTAATGTCCAACCTAAACCTCCCTCGCTGCAATTTAAGCCCATTGCTTCTTGTTCTATCTTCAGAGGCCAGGAAGAACAAGTTTTCTCCCTCCTCCTTGTGACACCCTTTTAGAAACCTGAAAACCGCTATCATGTCCCCTCCCTCTCAATCGTCTCTTTTCCAAACTAAACAAGCCCAATTCTTTCAGTCTTCCTTCATAGGTTATATTCTCTAGACCTTTATATCATTCTTGTTGCTCTTCTCTGGACCTTCTCCAATTTCTCCACATTTTTCTTGAAATGTGGTGCCCAGAACTGGACACAATACTCCAACTGAAGCCTAATCAGCACAGAGTAGAGTGGGAGAATGACTTCTAGTGTCTTGCTCACAACATACCTGTTAATACGTCCTAGAATCATGTTTGCTTTTTTTGCAACAGTGTCACACTGTTGACTCCTATTTAGCTTGTGATCCACTGTAACCCCTAGATCCCTTTCTGCCGTACTCTTTTCCATTCTGTGTGTGTGAAACTGGTTGTTCCTTCCTAAGTGGAGCACTTTGCATTTGTCCTTATTAAACTTCACACTGTTTACCTCAGACCATTTCTCCAGATCATTTTGAATTATGACCCTATGCTCCAGATTAGTCGCAGCCCCTCCCAGCTTGGTATCATCTGCAAACTTAATAAGTGTACTCTCTATGCCAATATCTAAATCATTGATGAAGATATTGAACAGAATCGGTCTCAAAACAGATCCCTGCAGAACCCCACTAGTTATACCTTTCCAGCAGGATTGTGAACCATTAATAACTACTCTCTGGGAACGGTTATCCAGCCAGTTATGCTCCCACATTATGTAGCCCCATCTATGTTGTATTTGCCAAGTTTATTGATAAGAATATCATGTGAGACCATATCAAATGCCTTACTCAAGTCTAATTATACCACATCCACTGCTTCTCCCTTATCCACAAGACTCGTTATCCTATCAAAGAAAGCTATCAGATTGGTTTGACATTTTTTTTTAAAACAAATCCATGCTGGCTGTTCCCTATCACCTTATTATCTTCCAAGTGTTTGCAGACGGATTCCTTAATTACTTGCTCCATTATCTTTCCTGGCACAGAAGTTAAACTGACTGGTCTGTAGTTTCCTGGGTTGTTTTTATTTCTCTTTCTATAAATGGGCACTATATTTGCCCTTTTCCAGTCTTCTGGTATCTCTCCTGTCTTCCATGATTTTCTAAAGATGAAAGCTAAAAGCTCAGATACCTGCTTTATCAGCTCTTTGAGCATTCTAGGATGCATTTCATCAGGCCTTGGTGACTTACAGACATCTAACTTTTCTAAGTGATTTTTAACTTGTTCTTTTTATATTTTATCTTCTAATCCTACCCCCTTCCTACTAGCATTCACTAGGTTAGGCATTCCTTTATCAGACTTCTTGATAAAGACGTAACATAGAAGGCATTAAGCATCTCTGTCATTTTCAAGTTTCCTGTTACTGTTTCTCTTTCCTCACTGAACAATGGGCCTACCCTGGCCTTGGTCTTCTCTCCTGCTTCTAATATATTTATAGAATGTCTTCTTGTTTCCCTTTATGCCTGTAGCTAGTTTGAGCTCATTTTGTGCCTTTGTCTTTCTAATCTTGCCCCTGCATTCCTGTATTGTGTGCCTATATTAATCCTTTGTAATTTGTCCTAGTTTCCATTTTTTATATGACTCCTTTTTTATTTTTAGATCATGCAAGATCTCCTGGTTGATCCAAGGCGGTCTTTTGCCATATTTTCTATCTTTCCTTCACAGCGGAATAGCTTGCTTTTGGGCCCTTAATAATGTCCCTTTGAAAAACTGCCAACTCTCTTCAGTTGTTTTTCCCCTCAGTCTCACTTTCCATAGGACCTTACCTACCAGTTCTCTGAGTTTACCAAAATCTGCCTTCCTGAAATCCATTGTCTCTAATATGCCGTTCTCCCTTCTACCTTACCCTAGAATCATAAACTATATTTTTTCATGATCACTTTCACCCAAGTTGCCTTCCACTTTCAAATTCTCAACCAGTTCCTCCCTATTTGTTAAAATCAATTCTAGAACAGCTTCCCCCCCTCCCCCAATAGCTTTTTCAACCTTCTGAAATAAAAAGTTGATAACTTATACACTTTCACCAGATATTTAACAGACCCAGGCTGGGCCATCTCAGTCTTTGTATACCAGAGAGCGACTCGAGAGATTCATTATCTATTCTTCAGATTCCTTACTTGTGTGCTTGAAGATGGAATAGGTGAAGACAGCTTCAACACTTTTTCCTCTGGCCAGGTTATAAAGATGGCATAGACAGTTGATCCTTTAGAAGTGTACCTGAGAGAATATATGATGGTATACAGAGGTGGGAAGATCACCACAAGATACAGAGGCAGACAAGCAATTGGCTTTGTCAAAAGTAAAGCTAAAGTGCCTGCCTTCCCCACAGTCAGTCAGTCTTGCCATGCTGGGAAAGCCTGCCACACAGGAGTCATCTGCTATCCTTGCACATCTCAGAACTTTGGAACCACCATTTATCCAGTCACAGGGACTGAGGAAAGCTAAATAATGTCTACATACGCTCCCTGAAAATAAAGGTCACCTTGCAACATGGCCTTAATTTAGGTTGGTGTGGTCAATAGTGTGGGTTAAGCTCTTGTGAAGCTGCATGTAGGTCTTGTTATTCTCATTGAAAACACAACTTAGGTTTTCAGCATTCTGGTCTCCTTACACACATTTTCCTCTTTGAGGAAATGCATAACATTAATGGAAGAGGTGTGAGGCCTGGGACAGAAGTTGTGTGCAGTAGGGGAGGTTGGAGTATGGGTGCAGGAGGGAGGCTGTGAACTGGGGAAGCAATCTGGGGTGCAGGGTCTGGGAGGAGGTTGTGACTAGAGATGTTAAAATGTATTCATGTAAACATATAACCACTGAAAGTTTCCACTGATACTGAGGCAGCAGTGTAGGGTGAGGGGGACACTATGAGTATGTCTAGACTACATAGCTCTGTCGCCAGAGCCATGTAGATTAGTTTACTAGACATACCTAAATGAAGCAGCAATTTAAATAATCGCCGCTTCGTTTAAATTAAAATGGCTGCCGCGCTGAGCTGATCAGCTGTTTGTCGGCTCAGCGTGCTAGTCTGAACTCTCCGCAGTCGACATCAAAGGCATTTGTCAACTGCCCCGTTATGCCTCGTGGGACGTAGTCTAGACATACCCTATGTGAAACCATGCAAATTAGTTAGGGATGTCATTGTGTAGTCAAGTACACAATTAACTGGTAAACCCAGGCTTACTGGTTAATTCTATTGACTCCATACATTCCCCTACCTTGCTGCCTCTATATCAGACACAGCAGGAGGTGGGAGCGGGAGTCAGCTTTTAACGCCAGCTCCCCACAAGCACCGGATCTGCAGAGCCACGTGGTCCAGTCCTGTCCCGTTCCCCACCATGCCTGACAGAGGCAGCAGGACAGAGGATGAGGGGGGCAGGTGGGAGCCAGTACACACAGGATGACAGCTTTCAAGCCAGCTTTTGTGCTAGCTCTGAAACCGCCCCCCACCTCTACTGGTGGCAGCGGCGGAGGGTGGGAGGAGGAAAAGGGAGGCTATCCGTGGTGAGCCCAAGCCAGCACAGCCTCTATCCGCAGGGAGACTGGACACCCCTGGGGGCAGGGGTTGCTGCCACCCCACACTGCTACCTCTATCGGAGACAGCGGTGCAGGCTGGCAGGCGGGAGCTGATTTTTAAACCCTTGCAGACTGGCTCCTGCCTACCACCCTGCACTGATGCTTCTATTAGAGGCAGCAGTGCAGGGTACCATGGGGTTCCCTGGGAGCAGGGCTGGGAGCGCACAGACTGCCAACCCCACTCCCAGGGAATATTAAATAGTCATGCAACCGATAATATCACTTACACGCTATCTAACTCCCTAATTTTAACCAATGAGCCTAGGCTCATCAGTTGACTGTTTACACAGGTACACGTTCACATCCCTAGTTGTGACTGGGGTAAGTGTGCAGGAGTGGGGGCAGAGGGTTGAGAAGCAGGAACAGCTGGGGCACCAGGTGCAGGCTCTGGCAGGAGACACTTACCTAGGCAGCTCCTGGCCAGCAGCTCATTAGGTCCTTCAGGCAGACTCTGAGTTCCACACCGCTCAGAACAGCCAGGTGCAGGGACCATGTGCTTCTCTAAGTTCCATGAGCAGCCCTCCCTACCCCCATACATCACAAACCTGGCCCAGACAGCTCAAGTTGTGAGACTGTGCTGTGGACAGGAGCAGCACAGTGGTGCTTGCGGTGCTCAGAGGAACACTTGGCCCTTGCAGATGGTCACTTTGAGTGGCATGCAGAGATGTGAAAGGCAGGGAGCCTACTCAAGGTTTTCGCTGGGCCCCGGGCCTATTTTGCCCATCTGAGTGAAAAGTTCTACTCTGGAGAAGCAAGATGAAATCCCTCAGGTTTAGTTTAGGGATGTAAAATCCCATTTAATCAGTTTTTACCAGTTAACCAATTAGAGGGGGGCAAGGTTGGGCTGCTCCATTGACATCTCTAAATTTAGATTTTTTTTTTATTTTTTTTTAAAAAGCACATAAATAATCAGGGACTTCAGTTCTACCCTTCTCTACAGCTCCTTGTATTAAACACCCTGAAGGGGGAAAGGGAGGCAAATGCGATAAGTGCCCCCACAGCCCAGTGATTCCAGACGGCCCACTGCAACAGTGGCTGGAGCCCTAGTCTCTTTGAATTGCTGCTGAAGCCCCCACAGCACACTACGAACAGCGCTGAAGCCACCTGGGGGAAGCTAAGGTGGCTGTGAAGCCCCCCTCCCCTTCACTCCCCCACCTTGCCCAGTGCACACCCTGACCTGGGGAGGCGGTTCAGTACTCAGAGTGAATCAGTGCCTTTCTGCAGTGTTCATTTTTCTTTGGAGTCCTCAACATTTGGAGCGAGCTCAACCATTCTTGTGAGATCACAGCCTGAGACGTGGCTGTTTCAGCGTGGTCTTGTGTAAAGTAATCCTTACCATACACTGTTTGTGATGTTCTCCATCTGTACTCGCCATGGTTTAGAAGCATAAATTGCCTCTCCGTTAACACCCAGCCATTTTCCAAGGGAAAGAAGCCTTTCTTGGAAGACTGGAACAATCACTCCCTCTTTTGTAGGGCCCACATTGAGAAGATAGTTGCCGCCAAAACTCACAGTCTGCACTAGCTCCTGTGACAAAGACAGAAAGTACCATGAATTCACTTTACTTTCACTCCTGAGAGAGACAGGCATTTGCACAAAGCTTTATTCTCTTGTTCCTGCTACTTTAGACCCCAACCTACCATACTGTCATGTTAGATATCTGGCATCTATTTGCCAAGCAAGAAGACAGAAAACTGCCTCTAATCCCCAGTAATCCCCTTATCTATATTTAAGTCCTTACTGAAATAATACTTGATTCATCCATGAGCTCATTGAGTTGCATGTTGCTTCGATAGCCCCATGACCTTCTGTCAATAGATGTGCACATCTCCCACTTGTGCTGCGGCAGGGTGCCTGGCTTGTATTTATCAGCACAGTTATAGTATCCTCCATGATGGCAGGAGCAGTTATTGCACCAACGGTCATTTACTACAACAGTATCCTAGAATGATGAGAAATAGTTTAGAGCAGAGACCATTTTGACTTAGACCAGTGATGGGCAACCTAAGCTAGTGAGTGGCCTGCATGAGTGGCCCTTCCATCTCAGTGGCTGCAAGATTGTCATAACCAAGATGGTCTCTTGGGATAGGGTAGTTTTGGTAAGTGTGCTTGTGTACTTAGAATCTGCGGGATGTGAGGATCGCACTGTAGCAGCGCTCTGACTGGATGCAGAGGGAGTGCATGGCTCTCACAGTGAGTGTTGTGTGCAATCAGCACCCACCTCACTTCACGTGCCTTTGGTTTGTGTGTGCGTCCCTTTAGTAATACAGGTAGGAAAAAAACCTGGAAGCCAGAAGAATCTGGTAATCCTTCATATGGGCAACAGTAAACAAAATGTCTCTCAGGCCACACACAGAACCCTGATGGACAGCATGTGGCTCTCAGGGGCTGCAGTTTGCCACCACTGACTTAAACACTCAATTGTTCTGCTACAGTGTTTCACAAGAACAAGTTTGTGGGGTTTGCTCTGGTTTGGTTAGTAGGCTCCCAAAAACAGGTCGATTCATTATTTTTTATTAAAAGGTCAAATACTCCTCAACAATTTATATACATTGATCATGAGAATTTGACTTAGAGAAACACAGTACCTTGACAGGACTATCATTATAAAGCCAGGCAAGGAAAGAGGTAGAGTTCCAATATGTGTCTGGTGCCTCCCAGTCACCATCTGACCAAATCAAATCTGGTTTATACCTAAGAGATAGATAAATGTTACTACAAAATTTAACACTCACTTCTGGTCCAATCCAAAGGGAAGACCTTCATAGGGAAACGTCTTTAATTCTTGCTCATGAAGTTCAATTATCTTTGCTTTCAAAAGCTTCTCTTATTGTATGACATAACCAGGTAATGTGTCAGAGTGCCAGAGGACAAAAAAAAATAAAAATAAAACCACCACCACGCACACCCATGAAGGAGATCCTAGCAGCAGCAAGGGCTGGGAATGTAGCACTAACAAAAAAGGGGAACTGCAAGTTGTCTCCGTGCAGGCATAATGGCCAGTAGATAATACTGAGGAAAAAAAGTGCTCCCATGCACAGATAAATCATGTGCTCCCATACACAGATAAATCTCCCTTTTCAGACCAACTCAAACGTATAGGGAAGTGAGATTTGCTTTGTGGTCAGGCAACAAATATATCTCCTCCCCCCGCATGCATACCTTTGCCCCAAAAGACAGAAAGAAATATTCAGGATTGCTTAGACAGTTGCAGCTCTTACCTTAAAACAAGATCATAAAGCTCTGGCATTGTTTTTAAAAAGACAAAATTCTGTGTCTTGAAGCCATTTTTTTTGTCATCTAAATACAGAGGATTAAACCACTCTAATAGTGAATGGTACAGTCCATAGCGTATATTCCTTTAATATTAAACAAAGAAATGAAAGTTGGGTTAACAAAAAAGTATCAGTTTGAAAAAAGAGCTCACTGCATTTTCACTGCACTGTTGTGAAGCTTACAATATGAAATCAAAATGACAAGAACCTAGTATTATAATATTCAATTATATCCATTCACAGGTTTCAAAATACTTCCTAATGTTAGGTAAATACCACACACTCCTCCTCACATGCAAAACAGAGATTGAGTAACTTGCCTGAAGTTACACAGTGAGTTAGTAGAAGCATCAGAAATATGGCCCTGGCTGTCAAATTCTGATACCCGTGCTCTGGACCTTGCTGCCACCCTGTACACTTAACATTAAGGATGTTAAATATTGGTTACTGAGTAGTTGATTAACCTCATGAATTCTTATTGGTTATTTGACTATTCTATAATCCCTGGAGGTAGCGCTGGCAGCCAGTGCAGTCTGTATCAGAGGCAGCAGTATGGAGTGCCAGGTGGGAGCTGGTCTGCAAGGGGAGCCAGTTTAAAAAACAGCTCCCCTGGCCTGTCGCCCTGCACTACTGCCTCTGATACAGAACAGAGCTGGGCTGCCTGTCCACCTGGCTCTTAATACACTTTAAATGAAGAGCCACAGTGGGAATAAATCCTGGACCCAGCACAAGCAAGGACTGAGCCAGGCTGCTAAAAAATTTATTGGCAAGGGGGAGAGCTTTTGCTAATCGACTACACTGTTACATCCCTACTCAACATTAGGTAAAGCAATTTTACATTGTACTAGGAAACCAACAGGAGATTGGATAACAGAATTCTCTAACCCTCAGGCAATACTATTTTTTGAAAATGAATCTGAGGAACTGTCTCGGATTGAAGTGTCATTAGAGGAGGTTTTGGGACAAATAGAAAAACTTAATGTTAACAAATCTCCTGGACCAAATGGCATTCACCCAAGGGTTCTAAAAGAACTCAAATGGGAAATTACTGAACTATTATCTGTGGTTTGTAACCTATCCTTTAAATCGGCTTCTGTACCTAATGACTGGAAGGTAGCCAACGTGACACCAATATTTAAAAAGGGCTCTAGAGGCGATCCTGGCAATTACAGACTGGTAAGTCTAACTTCAGTACCGGGGAAATTAGTCGAAACAACAGTAATGAATAAAATTGTGAGGCATGTAGAAGAACATAATTTGTTGGACAAAAGTCAACGTGGTTTCTGTAAAGGGAAATCATGTCTTACTAATCTATTAGAGTTCTTTGAAGGGGTTAACAAACATGAAGACAAGGGGGATCCAGTAGATATAGTATACTTAGATTTTCAGAAAGCCTTTGATAAGGTCCCTCACCAAAGGCTCTTGTGTAAATTACATGGCCATGGGATAAGAGGGAAGGTCCTTTCTTGGATTGAGAACTGGTTAAAAGACAGAAAACAAAGGGTAGGAATAAATGGTAAATTTTCAGAATGGAGAAGAGTAACTAGTTGTGTCCCCCAAGGGTCAGACCTGGGACCAATCCTTTTCAACTTATTCATAAATGATCTGGAGAAAGGGGTAAGCAGTGAGGTGGTAAAGTTTGCGGATGATACCACACTGTTTAGGATAGTCAAGACAGAAGCAGACTGTGAGGGACTCCAAGAAGATCTCACCCACCCAAGACCTAGGACATGCTAATGGTCATCTAATTCAAGAACTGGAAGTAGTTTTTGGGTAACAAAGTTGCGACAATAAGTACAAGAGCAGTAACATACCTTTCTCTAAGAGCTTGTCCCAGTTCACCCACTAGGTCTCGATGGGGTCCTACATCCATAGAATTCCAGTTCCAGGACACAGGAGACCCCCAGTTAGTGTAGCCTTCATGATGCTTTGAAGTCAGCACCACATACCTGTGGAAATCAAGACCTCAGATCTTATCAGAAGTAAACAGAGCCTACGTGAGATACTCCACATCTGAATCAAACTGGTACTTGGAAAGCAAAGTACAGTAGACTTCCGATAATCCGCCACCTTTGGGACCTAGGTGGTGCCGGATTATTGGATATGCCAGAGTATCTGGAGGTTCTGGTACAGCTGCACAGCACCTGATCTCCCTTCCTCTCCCCTCTCCTTTCCCCTTGGCTGAAGCAAAACGCTCTTCTTCATGCTGTAACCCAATCCCCCTCCCCTCTCCTTTTCTCTTTGCTTCTCCTTCTCCGTGCTGTAACCTGCTCCTCCTCCCCCTCCCCTATCCCCTTCACTGAAGCAAAACGCTCTTCTTCATGCTGTAACCCAATCCCCCCCCCCACCCTTATGTTCGTTCCAGCCGGCTTTTTAATCAGCTGGATGGGAGCGCTTGACATTTTGATGCCGGAGTATCAGGGGTGCCGGACTATTGGCGTTTTACTGTACACGGTAAAGGTAGTGTCAAATGCCTGACCCTCAATAAGGAGGGAGAACTTCTAAGGGCAAAAGAGTAAACCTAAATAAAAAACAGAAGTGTGTCTACGTGGCTCCTTACAACAACACTAAATCCACTTTAAAGCCACTGACTGAGTGATAAATGTCTAGTTTGCACTACAAAAGTGCTCCCATGGTTCTAGTGAGTTTAGTGGTTTTGAGGCTAATTTACAAAACCAAATCATTTCTGCTTTCTGTATGTGTGAAGAAACCACATTGCACTAAGATCTCAGAAAGTATCGTCATCTATTGGCCAAAGGAGGAAGTGACTATGATATAGTCACCTGACATCCACCTGACCATTCTTCTGGTGGAAAGCAGAAGAAAATTATTCTCTTTGGCATCTAGCTTTGATGAATACAAAGTGTAAAAGCTACGAATTTGCTCCTTTACTGAGAATGATACATCCTCAGGACGCTGTGATCAAGGGATCAGCCAGGCAGGGAAACACACTATAGGAACCAGGGCTCTGTCATATACACTGTAGATGTTCTGAATAACCAATGATCCTTAGCAACATTTTGGGTGCACAATCATCACCAGTGACCAACGTTCCCGTTAATCTTTTCCACCACCATGGCAGAAAGGGATCTAGGGGTCATAGTGGACCACAAGTTGAATATGAGTCAACAGTGTGATGCTGTTGCCAAAAAAGCAAATATGATTCTAGGTTGTATCAACAGGTGTGTTGTAAGCAAAACTCGTGAAGTCATTCTGCCGCTCTACTCTGCACTAGTTAGGCCTCAGCTGGAGTACTGTGTCCAGTTCTGGGTGCCACATTTCAAGAAAGATGTGGAGAAATTGGAAAGGGTACAGAGAAGAGTGACAAGAATGATTAAAGGTCTAGAGAAGCCTATGAAGCCAGGCTTCATGAACTGGGCTTGTTTAGTTTGGAAAAAAGAAGATTAAGGGGGGACATGATAGTGGTTTTCAAATATCTAAAAGGGTGTCACAAGGAGGAAGGTGAAAATTTGTTCCTCTTGGTTTCTGAGGACAGGACAAGGAGTAATGGGCTTAAAGTGCAGCAGGGGAGGTTTAGATTGGACATTAGGAAAAAATTCCTAACTGTCAGGGTGGTCAAATATTGGAATAAATTGCCAAGGGAGGTGGTGGAATCTCCCTCTCTGGAGATATTTAAGAACAGGTTAGATAGACATCTGTCAGGGATGGTGTAGGTGGAGCTTGGTCGTGCCTTGAGGGCGGGGGGCTGGACTCGATGACCTCTTGAGGTCCCTTCCAGTCCTATTATTCTATGATTCTATGTGCAAAATAAATTTTTATGTGCACGAATGCATGTGTGGATGTGCCTCTGCAGAAGAAACACAAAGCCTGGCTGTGGGGCGCTGCTAAATTTGCATCGACTATTCGATTAGATAAGGGCACCTTGGCCTTTGAAGTGTACCAACAGTCCCACAGCGGTGACTACGCTACCCAGGCGAGGGCGCAGCGGGCAGCACGGGGCCGGGGACTCAAGCGAGGGCGCAGCGGGCAGCATGGGGCCGGGGACTCAAGCGAGGGCGCAGCGGGCAGCATGGGGCCGGGGACTCAAGCGAGGGCGCAGCGGGCAGCATGGGGCCGGGGACTCAAGCGAGGGCGCAGCGGGCAGCATGGGGCCGGGGACTCAAGCGAGGGCGCAGCGGGCAGCATGGGGCCGGGGACTCAAGCGAGGGCGCAGCGGGCAGCATGGGGCCGGGGACTCAAGCGAGGGCGCAGCGGGCAGCATGGGGCCGGGGACTCAAGCGAGGGCGCAGCGGGCAGCATGGGGCCGGGGACTCAAGCGAGGGCGCAGCGGGCAGCATGGGGCCGGGGACTCAAGCGAGGGCGCAGCGGGCAGCATGGGGCCGGGGACTCAAGCGAGGGCGCAGCGGGCAGCATGGGGCCGGGGACTCAAGCGAGGGCGCAGCGGGCAGCATGGGGCCGGGGACTCAAGCGAGGGCGCAGCGGGCAGCATGGGGCCGGGGACTCAAGCGAGGGCGCAGCGGGCAGCATGGGGCCGGGGACTCAAGCGAGGGCGCAGCGGGCAGCATGGGGCCGGGGACTCAAGCGAGGGCGCAGCGGGCAGCATGGGGCCGGGGACTCAAGCGAGGGCGCAGCGGGCAGCATGGGGCCGGGGACTCAAGCGAGGGCGCAGCGGGCAGCATGGGGCCGGGGACTCAAGCGAGGGCGCAGGCTGAGTTTGGAAGCAGAGAGAGCAGGGGACACTGCCCCCCTAGTCTTTTAAAAGAAGAATGAACAGTTCTTCCCTGTTCATGTTTTTGTTTCTTCAACAGGGAAGAGTGGGCAGGTCTAAGACAAACATGCTGAGCACATTCTGTCAGGAAGGACAGACAGGGAAAAAAGGGAGGAGGGGTTGCCTTGTATATTAAAAATGTACACACTTGGACTGAAGTGGAGATGAACGTAGGAGATAGCTGTGTAGAGAGTCTCTGGGTTAAGCTAAAAGGGGTAAAAAACGAGGGTGATATCATGCTAGGAGTCTACTACAGGCCACCTAGCCAGGTGGAAGAGGTGGATGAGGCCTTTTTTAAACAATTAACAAAACTATCCAAAGCCCAAGATTTGGTGGTGATGGGGGACTTCAACTATCCAGACATATGTTGGGAAACTAACACAGCGAGGCACAGGCTATCCAATAAGTTTCTGGACTGCATTGGAGACAACTTTCTGTTTCAGAAGGTTGAAAAAGCTACCAGAGGAGAAGCTGTTCTGGATTTGGTTTTAACAAATAGGGAGGAACTAGTTGAGAACTTGAAAGTGGAAGACAGTATAGGGGACAGTGATCATGAAATAATAGAGTTCATGATCTTAAGGAAAGGTAGAAGGGAGACCAGCACAATTGAGGTTATGGATTTCAGGAAGGCAGATTTTGATAAGCTCAGAGAACTTGTAGGTAAGGTCCCATGGGAAGCAAGACTGAAGGGAAAAACAACTGAGGAGAGTTGGAAGTATTTCAAAGGGACGTTGTTAAGGGCCCAAAAGCAAACAATTCCGCTGTGTAGGAAAGATAGAAAATATGGCAAAAGACCAGCTTGGCTTAACAAGGAGATCTTGCATGATCTCAAAATAAAAAAGGAGTCATATAAAAAATGGAAACTAGGACAACTAACAAAGGATGAATATAGGCAAGCAACACGGGAATGCAGGGGCAAGATTAGAAAGGCAAAGGCACAAAATGAGATCAAACTAGCTACAGGCATAAAGGGAAACAAGAAGACCTTTTATAAATACATTAAAAGCAAGAGGAAGACCAAGGACAGGGTAGGCCCACTGCTTAGTGAGGAGGGAGAAGCAGTAACAGGGAACTTGGAAATGGCGGAGATGCTCAATGACTTCTTTGTTTCGGTCTTCACCGAGAAGTCTGGAGGTGTGCCTAACGTAGTGAATACAAGCAGAGAGAGGGTAAGTTTAGAAGATAGGATACACAAAGAACAAGTTAAAAATCACTTAGGAAAGTTAGATGTCAGCAAGTCACCAGGTCCTGATGAAATGCATCCCAGGATACTCAAGGAGCTGATAGAGGAGGTATCTGAGCCTTTAGCTATGATCTTTGAAAAATCATGGCAGACAGGGGAGATTCCAGAAGACTGGAAAAGGGCAAATATTGTGCCCATCTATAAAAAGGGGAATAAGAACAACCCAGGAAATTATAGACCGGTCAGTTTAACGTCTGTCCCAGGGAAGATAATGGAGCAGGTAATTAAGGAAATCATATGCAAACACTTGGAAGGTAATAAAGTGATAGGGAATAGCCAGCATGGGTTTGTGAAGAACAAGTCATGCCAAACTAATCTGATAGCTTTCTTTGATAGGATAACGAGCCTTGTGGATAAGGGAGAAGCGGTGGATGTCATATACCTAGACTTTAGTAAGGCATTTGATACGGTCTCGCATGATATTCTTATTGATAAACTAGGCAAATATAACTTAGATAGGGCCACGATAAGGTGGGTGCATAATTGGCTGGATAACCGTAGTCAGAGAGTTGTTGTTAACGGTTCTAAATCCTGCTGGAAAGGGATAACAAGTGGAGTTCCTCAAGGGTCTGTTTTGGGACCCGTACTGTTCAATATCTTCATCAATGATGTAGATATTGGGATAGAGAGTACGCTTATTAAGTTTGCAGATGATACCAAACTGGGTGGGGTTGCAACTTCTTTGGAGGATAGGGACATAATTCAAAATGACCTTAGCAAGTTAGAGAAATGGTCAGAGGTAAACAGGATGAGGTTTAATAAGGAGAAATGCAGAGTGCTCCACTTAGGAAGGAACAATCAGTTCCATACATACAAGATGGGAAGCGACTGTCTAGGAAGGAGCATGGCGGAAAGGGATCTAGGGGTCATAGTGGACCACAAGTTGAATATGAGTCAACAGTGTGATGCTGTTGCCAAAAAAGCAAATATGATTCTAGGTTGTATCAACAGGTGTGTTGTAAGCAAAACTCGTGAAGTCATTCTGCCGCTCTACTCTGC